CTCACAGCAACCTCCAACTCCTGGGCTCAAGCGAGTCTCCTGCCTCAGCCTCCCAAGTAGCTGGGACCACAGGTGCCTGCCACAACGCTCGGCTATTTTTTTTTGGTTGCAGCCGTCTTTGTTGTTTGGCGGGCCGGGCTGGATTCGAACCCGCCACCTTGGGTGTACGTGGCTGGCGCCTTAGCCACTTGAGCCACAGGCGCCGAGCCAGAAATTCTTAAAATATGATGGAAAGGCCACACTGCTTTAAAACTGTAGATTCCCAGACCCACACCCCCAAAGCTTTCTGGATCTAGAGATGCAAGCTCCTCAGATGAGAACCACCACCCTCAGGTTTTCCTTTCAATGAGAACCATGTAGTTCATTCACAGCTATACTCTTCCAGATTGGTATTAAGTTTTAGCCTTCAAAAAAGTTCAACCACGAATATCTCGTTCCTATAGCCTTAATCTTACCAATTTCACACCCAAGATCCTGGTTTAGCTATGCTGCACACAAAGGGGGCCTGACAGAATAATTAAACTTCTTGGAAGCATATATGAGAACACCCAAAGAGATGGTGTTCATTATAGCAGTATTTTAAAAACTTGAGTGGTAACTGAAAACACGTGCGAAAACAATTGGAGTGTGAACAACTAAGAAACATCCACAGACGACTGTGTGTTTTGTTTTGTGGGTTTTTTTTTTTTGTCTTTGTTAGCAGAGGCAGACAGTTTTATTGGGATTCTGAAGCAACATTCTCCATGCTTCTGAACCTTAAAAGGTGACACAGTCCGCTGCTTCTCCTAACAAATTATTGATACACAGGGGAAAGGCAGAGATATCACAAGTGCAAACTGATTGCTTCTTTCCATACTTGAGGTTACCTTAGAGAAAACTCTTTCTTACAATATCCGTTCTGTAATGACAATGTTACAGGCAGGACAAAACCCTCTGAGGACAGCTCATGCTGCAATTCAGCAGGTGTGAAGCGAGAAAAGTAATGGCTTTATCTACAGTCTGACTTTGAGATAATAAAGCTTGAAGGTCAGCGTTCTCTCCCATGTATCCATGTGAAAGACATTTAGAATCTGAAAAGCGCTCTCACATCTTACACCTGACTTTTGAGAAGGAAGAAAGCAGGGTGAACATACCAATGGCGGGCCCTCCTTGCCTCTTCTCTTCTAAGATAGCTGCCAGATCTCTGTGCGTGGACTTAGGATGCTGGCTGGCCGGTGGCTGTTCCAACTCCGGACTTTTCACTTTTAAAAGCTGATTTGCCTTCTTGATCTTCTGGCTGTACTGCCGAGCCATCATAAAAACCCTGCTTTTCGTCTTATCTGCAGCCTCCATCCCCAGGTCAGGGTTTTCTGGGTCTGTTTGGGACAGACTGCTGTCAGCCAAGTCGTAAGGATTGTCCACAGGAGGCGTCTCACTGGCCACGGAGAGCCGGTTAAGACTCACAAAGGAGCCTTCTCTAGAAATCAGGTCTTCTTCGAATGGGTAGTTGACCCGGCTGGCTCTGATGGCCCTGCTCTTCCCTGGTGTGGGGAAAACCTGGCTTTCGGGCAGTGACAGCGCAGATGCGGAGTGAGCCGCGTGCCGGCCCAGCTGCGGGGACCTCTCGGCGTGCAGCCCAGCTGGCACGTCATCTTGGCTTACAGGAAATGCAGCAAGGAGACGGTCTCTAGCCTTGTCTTCATTTTTCTTGATGTAATTTTCCAGGTCATTCCAGATTTCATCTACTTCCTCAGACAGTTTGTCAGATACAGGCTTATCAGCGGCAGACAAGTCACAGCTGGAGGAGGTGTGTAGCAGGCTCAGATAATCCTCATCAGAGGCGCCCTGCCGGGAAGGCAGCTCCTCGCTGAACTGGAGGCTGTCCTGGGAAATGAAGGGCCTCAGACTGTCGCAGCACACAAAGTCGGCTTCCAGACCCAGAAAGGTGCTCCTCTTTGGACGCTTTAAGCTGCCACACTGGAAATCCAGCGGTGGTGGCTCTGGGAGCCCTATAGTGTCATAGATGTTTTCCTCAACCACCTGGAGTTCGTGTGTGCTCTGGCTGGACGCCTCCTGACCCATAAGAACTCCGTCTTTCTGGGTGAAAAGAAAGCTCTTAGGGTGGCCAGCTTGCCTCTTTGAGAAGGCTAGCTCTGGAGTGCTCTTGGGGCGAATGGAGTCCCTTGCTGATCTAGGGGGTGTGGATTCAGCTTCTTCTCGCTTAGCCACCATTAGTTTTAAGTCCTCATAACTTATGTTATCATAGACATGGTCTATGTCATCAACAGTTAACTCTGTAGATGACCCAAAGGGTGTCATCCCCTCCTGTTCTTCCGTCTTGGGGCCGTTCTGCAGCTCCCTCCGGGGGCTGAACTGGGAGCCATCGCTGTCCCTAATTCTTACTTCAGGAGGGCATGTGTTGCTCTCACCAGCACTGCTGGCCCGCCTGACAATCCTATGACCAGAGCTGGGTATCTCTGTGGACTCGATCTGTCCCATATGCCAGCTGCAAGGACGGCTGGACGTGCTTTCTTCACGCAGCCTGGCAGAGTTCAAATCTGAGGAGGAGAAGGACGGCACGAGCATCTGATAATCATCTTCATCATCCTCGTCCTCCTGTGCGGGTCGGCGGCTGGGAAACAAGGCTTGCCTGATCTGGTGATCTGTCCAGATGTTTCTGGCGGTTCCACTCCCTCGAAACATGCCGATCGTGGCAGAGCTGCTCGGCTGGCTGTTCCTCTGGGTAGGAGATGGCCGTGCTGAAGTCAGCTGGGGAGATCCTTCCTCTCTAGAAACCTGAGGAAGACAGAAACATCAACTGAATCCCAGGACCGTAAGGAGGGAACATCACTTAGGAATTTCTCAGTGTGTTCACACAGCACCTCTGCCACTGACTGTGATATCCTTAAAGAACATGATCAGGAGAAAGTGTTGGTTTTAATTGAGCTGAAAAGCACTTCAAGCTTTGCAGAAGGGGCAGAAAGGACAGGAATTAATTTTTACTTAGAGATTAGGCTGAGCAGTGTATAGACATTCTGTAAACTTAATATTCACAATCACTCTATGAATTAGATATGATTGTACTAGTTTCACAGTAAGGAAATTCAGGCTGTTAAAGATTCAGTAAATTGCTCTACTTACTAATAAGGCTAGGCCTCAAACTTAAGGTCTGACCTCTATACCCTTGACCCCCCAAAGCAGGATATCAGCTAAATACAGAAAACTTAGATATTTCAAATAAATGTGATCCTTAATTGGCAAATATAGCAGTTTCGCGGGGGCCAGGTTCGAACCTGTCAGCTTCAGTATATCGGGCTGGCACCCTAATCACTGAGCCACAGGCACCGCATTAATTGGCAAATACTGATTACATATAAATGAATATAAACATGCATATGTATATATGAATACATATATATTCCTTTATACAGTAAATATGTATATTTTCTGTATGAGATCGGATTTATATTTGAGACTTTCTAAGGAGTCTGAGACTCAGGGCTTGACTCTTAGGAGTCTTTTTTTTTTTTTTTTGGAGACAGAGTTTCACTTGTCACACTGAGTAGAGTGCTGTGGTGTTAGAACTCATAGAAACCTCAAACTCCTGGGCTCAAGTGAATCTCCTGCCTCAGCCTCCTCAGTATCTATGCCCTGCTAATTTTTGTATTTTTAGTAGAGATGGGGGCTCACTCTTGCAGGTTGGTCTCGAACTCCTGAACTCAAATAGTCCACCTGCCTCAACCTCCCAGAGTGCTGGGATTACAGGTGTGAGCCACTGTACCTGGAGGACTCTTAGGAGTGTTAACATGGTTTCTGGTATCCAGAAGCTCTTGCAAGGATTTCCCTTTAATCTGCAAACCCCACCTTGAAACCTGGCCAGCATTACATTTGTTTATCTAGGTTCTAGGCCAAGAGCCTTTACTATAGGAATGTAATTTAATCCACTGTTAAGCTATGATATTTTTACTATCTTTCAAAATACATTTAATTAACATTTAGTTTCTTGTTAGGAAGTAAAATATAAGTGAATGTTAATGATTTGTAATCAAAGAAAACAAGGGGGTCTTTTATAGCTTACAACCCTTCTTGACGGAGCTCGGTGGTGCAGACGGGAGCTGATCACCCTTTGATACTACACTGCAGGTAAGAGGATTAGTTTCAAAGAGTTAAGATCTGTTGAAGCTAGTTAATACCAGATACATATTTTCTAATCAAAACCCTACAGTTACCTATTAGACATGTCAAAGTAGGAAGAATTTTTCATCACTTGTCAATGAAACTGGGATATCCCTTAGGGAGGGATGAAAGGAGTAGAGAAGAATAAGATTTTATTCTAAATGTTATTTTTCTATTAAGATATTAAAACTTGAAATTCAATTAGTAATTTCTCTTCACCCATACATGTACGCATGATACTTACATATAACATTTATTGTTTTATATATATATACACATACACACACATTTAGTATCTCTTCCTTTTCACCTTACTTAGACTGCACTGGTATAATGTTAAAAAAATTTAGGTACCCAGTAACTACTTTTTATAAAGTATTGATAAAATAAGTTAATACCATCTAGTTAAATCATGATTCTACACTTTTTTTGGTGAGGGGGAGACAGAGGCTCACTATGTTGCCCTCGGTGGAGTGCTATGGCGTCATCACTCACAGGAACCTCAAACTCTCGGGCTCAAGTGATCCTCTTGCCTCACCCTCCTGGGTAGCTGGGACTACAGGCACAGCTCAGGCTGGTCTTAAACCTGTAAGCTCAGATGATCCGCCTGCCTCGGCTGCCCAGAGTGCTAGGATGACAGGTGTGAGCCACTGTGCCTGGCCTGAGATCTTTTCATCTCAGAAAATTCATAAGGTTTTATAAAATTAGGAAAATGTAATTTTTAATTTTGAAGTATATCTTTAAGGCAATCACACTTGAAGGTAGTAGTTCTTTGGAAGTTGAAAATTCACATCAAATAGATCGAGAGAACTGAAGAAGGTTTTAGATTAAGAAATAATGAGTATGTGATTTGGCACCACACACAAACATGCAATTTAGATGCCCTAATTTTGCCAGAGCCAAGTCAACTTTCTCTGTTTTTGCACATTCTCAGCATTATGGCTATTTACTAATAATAGCAGCTATCATTTATGGAACACTAGCTTTGTGCCAAAGACCACACTAAGCACTTTAAAACTTATACATACATTTAATCTTTACAACAATTCTAAAAATTAAGGGACTAAGTCTTAGTAAGGGTAAGCAATTTGTCTACAGTTGCAGTTTATAAATGGCAGAAACGGATTTGAATTCATGTCTTACAGCTTACATATGTAAGCTCATGTCACTGCACACATATACCCATACGCAGCCTCAGAATATATATTCTGTTAAGCTGTGATTAAGGAGTATTTCCCATTATAAACTCTCCAACCACGAGTGACTCATTTCAGTAAGTGACTGTCAGGGATGGAACTCTGGTGTTTTTGCTCTCTTTTGTCTTCAGACTTTAGAAGGTTTACTTCGTCCCTGTATGGACTTGGCCTGAATACTGTTGTAGAAAGTTTCCAAGAAGCTCTTGAGATTGTATTTCTAGAACTCTGCAATGGGAGACTCTGCTATTCAGTACTGAGAAGGGCTTCACTCCAAGTCCTACTTTGGCTGCTTTACAAAGCAGGGAGTCTGGGCAGCACCTGTGGCTCAGTGAGTAGGGCACCAGGCCCATACACTGAGGGTGGTGGGTTCAAACTGCAACAACAACAACAACAAAATAGCCAGGTGTTGTGGCAGGTGCCTGTAGTCCCAGCTACTCGGGAGGCTGAGGTAAGAGAATCGCCTAAGCCCAAGAGCTGGAGGTTGCTGTGAGCTGTGACACTACCATACTCTACAGAGGGCAACAAAGTGAGACTCTGTCTCTCAACCAAAAAAAAAAAAAAAGCAGGAGTCTTCCACAGTGACCCCACATATGAAATCACAGTATATTTAAAAGAAAATCAAAACCTCACACCATATGTCAAGATAATGAATCAATTAATAAGTTTCTAAAACTTTCATAAAAACACCACATACCTAAAAAAATGCACCTGCATGCCCTGAGTCATAAAAACTACTTAAAGACTTTGTTGATTTTTTGATTTTTTTTTTTTAGAGACTGAGTCTTACTCCATTGTTCTGGGTTGAGTGCCCTGGCATCATCATAGCTCACAGCAACTTCAAACTTTTGGGTTCAAGAGATGGTTTTGCTTCAGCTTCCTGAGTAGCTGGGATTACAGGTCTGCACCACAATGCCTGGGTAGTTTTTCTTTAGTAAAGGCAGGATCTCTACCTTTTGCTCAGGCTGGTCTCAAACTCCTGAGCTCAAGTGATCCACTCCCAAAGTGCTAGGATTATAGGCCTGAGCCACCTTGTGCAGCCAATTTTTAGACATTTTATTGGGTTTAACAGAAAGATATAGCCTTTATCAGCAGGGTTGCTTTGGTCTTGCCCCAAGCCCTGGTGCAAATGGCTCTGTGGGGAGTTTCATAGCTACACCCTTACAGATGCAGAACATTAAAGGAGATGCAATGATCAGCTCTCTAAGCATCATTATGTAAGCCCGCTGATCAGCAGCCATAGTGGGCAAACTACCCAGCTCAGGATAGAATACCTGTTCTTCGCATGTAATAAACTGGGACATGCAGCTTCCAACAGAGCATATCATTCTTATTCCTTCTCTAAACTTTTCTCAGAGGAAGAAAAATAAAAACTTGATCTAGTAAAGTTTCTAACACAGATCATCACACCCTTTATACAAGCAGCAGAATCTTCTTAGAAGGGGGCTCCTCGCCCTCCTGCCTGAGACAGGGAATTGTACTCAGGAAGTGAGGCCCTTGTTCCTACCCAGGCAGAGGTGAGGGATGGCCTGGACTGGCTCATCTAGTACTGTGTAGTCTAAGGTAAGGTCATAGCTCCTGGGTGAGAGGTGGGGAGAGAAATGAATAAATATCGCCTTAATTCTAAGATGGAGGGGGAGAAGAAGTTGATAAGAATGAGTCTTTGATTATATCAACTGTAAATAATTCAAAATGTAAAGTAAATGTAAAACATCAAATTCCCAAAGTGCAAAATAATTGTTTGCACTTGGGATAAGCTATACATGTGGTATGAATAGGAGAGGGCAATCATACAGGGTGTCTAAAATCAGACATGCGGTAGTGCTTACCTTTTGGATGTCTTGTGTTGTTTCTGCAAAATAAAAGTTTCATTTTTTTACATTAGAAAATTAAAAATGTATTTCATATATAAACATACACTAATATAGGACTCAAACTGATTGCTAATAATCAAAGCTCAAGTGGCTTCTGGGCCCTTTATATCTAATTTTCTGAAAATGCCTTTCAGTTATCCCAGTTATATATTCTTTCTTTTATTTTTCTTTGAGACAGAGTTTTGCTTTGCCACCTGGGCCAGAGTGCAATGGCCTCAGCTTAGCTCACAGCAATCTCAAACTCCTGGGTTTAAGCAATCCTCCTGCCTCAGCCTCCTGAGTACCTGGTATTATAGGCACTTCCCACAACTCCTGGCTAATTTTTCTACTTTTGGTAGAGATAGAGTCTCACTCTTGCTCAGGCTGGTCTTGAACTCCTGAACTCAAGCAATCCTCCTACCTGGGCCTCCCAGAGTGCTAGGATTATAGGTGTGAGCCCTGGTGCCTGGCCCATCGATCCTTTTCCTGTATCTGAGCATTAGGCGTCTCTACCTTAATCCCTGAGAGCAATGAACTAATTCATGTTAATACATTTCAAAAGATTCCAAAAACTATGCACTATTAAAAAAAGAAAAGAAGAAGAAGAAAGAAAGCACAAGCCACCATGAAAATCACGTAAAGATGATTATGCTGTTGATATTTTGACATTTCACTGGTTTTAACCGAAAGATTTAGTCTTGTAATCAACAGGGTCACCTTGCTAAGCAGTACTGCAAGTGAAATTATGGGACAGATTTACACAGCCACCTTCTTACAGATGAACCGATTACGTGTCTCATCCTGGAAAACTGTTTAGAGAAGCATATAAAGTACTTCCCTCCCCACGAAACCCAGCTTGAAGTAACCACACTTAACACTTCCATGTCCATCTTTTCAGCTCCAGCACTGCCCGCAATGCACCAAAATTATTTGTTTTTAAAATAAAGATGCACTAGGAAACATTGTGTTTTCTGCTAAATATATGTGGACTCCCTTATTAATAGGTGGAGAGCCTCTTCTTTCTTTTCAACAGCAGCACAATATCCCCCATCACGTTTATGGGGCACCACACCTTCTCTTCTTTAACCATTTCCCATTGGATGGGCATTTTATGGAGTGTCCTATCACAAATGCTGCAAAGAACAAACTCCGACACAAATCCACCCACACTTGGGCAAGGCCATTTATGCAGGTGAAAATGTTGGGTGAAGGGCATATTCACATTTTTAATTTAAATGGGCATTACTGAATTTTGCTTCTGAAACATTTCAGATATTTACACTCCCACCAATAGTTTTGGAGTGCCTTTTTTTTTTTTTTTAAATGTTTTGGCCAAGCTTTTTAGGGGGCCTAATGTAGCCACAAACTCTTTTCCCTTCTCCCACCACCTCTGCTAAGACAAAGACACAAAAAATCTGGCCAGCCCTTCCTTTAAGAAGTTCCTGCCAGAAGGTCCTAGCTTTATAGTCAGGCTGTGGAACTGCCTAGGCCCCATAAAAAAGTGGTCTCTAACTGCCCTTGGGCACAGACACAGATGCCACCTTTGCACTGCCCAAGTGGGCCATCTTTCCCTTTCAATAAACCCAGCCTGGACATCTCCTCCAGGACCCATCTCTGAGCACCACTGTTTACACCTTTCAAAAGTCATAGCTTTCCCCCTCTACTTATTTCATTTAAATGTTTTTCTGACTAATGACATGGGTGACCATTTTTAAATTTTACTGGAAGTTCGTGTTTCTTTTGTGAAGATGCCCAAGTATATTCTCTGTTCTTTAAAAAAGAGCCCTTGTTTCTTTTTGGGGATATACAGTGTTTCTTTATATAATAGAGATATTAATCTTTTTATGTCTGTCACATGTAGATCACACTTTTACTTATAGGATTTAATTTTTTGGGTGACGCCCATAGCTCAGTGGGCAGAGCACTGGCCATATATACTGAGGCTGGTGGGTTCGAACCCAGCTAGGGCCAACTAGAACAACAATGACAATTGCAATAAAAAAATAGCTGGGCATTGTGGTGGGCACCTACAGTCCCAGCTACTTGGGAGGCTAAGGCAAGAGAATCGCTTAAGCCCAAGAGTTTGAGGTTGCTGTGAGCTGTGATGCCCTGGTACTCTGCCCAGGGTGACAGCTTGAGACTCTGTCTCAAAAAAAAAAAATTAATTTTTTGTAATCAAATAATCACATCTATTAATCTCTATTTCAGCTGGTATTTCTTTTTCTTTCTTTCTTTTTTTTTTTGTTTCAGACAGAGTCTCACTCTGTTGCCCCCTGCTAGAGTGCTGTGGTGTCATAACTCACAGCTACCTCAAACTCCTGGGCACAAGTGATCCTCTTGCCTCAGCCTCCCAAGTAGCTGGGACAACAGGTGTCAGCTACCTCACTTGGCCTGGTACTTTTCATGAATGGTTTCATTTAGTGGGTCTCAACATGAACGAAACAATAGAATATATTTTAGGACTTACCACTGGTCTTCAAAACTTTATGTGATCTTGAGGAAGGTTCTGGGGAGAAAAAAAATGAAGACAGCATTGTTTGAAAAACCAAATCAAAATTGTTTCTTATAAATGAATTATTAGTTTATTGACAGATTAATTGAGCTCTAGAAATTTTCTATCCATTTTACTAAATCTGCACTGCTTCGAAATACTTAGGAGCAAGAAATTCACACCGTCACAATGGAAGGATAAATGTTAGGCCAGGGAATTAGAAGTCACAAAATACTGCAGAAAAGGAGAGCTGACTTATCACCTTACTGCTAGCCGCTGCGGCTTCCTCAGCCCTCACTCCCACCTACCAGCCGGTAACACTCAATTGTATGCTTTTATGCCAGAGCGATCCCAAACTTCAGCCTCAGCAAAGGCAACGCACCCCAGTGTCTTCCCACCCCTGTCCTCACAATCTGCCTCTTTATCTGCACCCCCTCTCTTGGTTACCTACTGAGCTAGCTAGTGACAAGGGTGACACTTGCCGTTTTCTGCGGGTTCCCAGTAATGTGCATCCCAACCCCCAAGTCACTACTACATTGATCCAAGCTCTCTTCCCTTCTCACCCAGACTAGCGGGACCATCTCCTGAAGCCAGAAAAGCAGCCTGCACACTGGAGGCTGAGAAGCTGAGCTGAAGCAGCGCCCTGATCTACTCTGCTTCGCTGGCAATCTTCCCCCACCTCTATGATTATCTAGTTACAGTATCACTGTGACCCTGAGGGTGTTTCTCTTAGGAGACTCTGAGGCGGTAGTCACACATAGATGACAGGTGTTGTGATACTGGGGGAGGAAAGGTTTCTTTGATGATAGGTTTTCGCTGATGATTCCCTCAGATGTTTTGTTAAAATGAAAATCACCTTCCTGTTGTTTAAACATTTTGCCACTTGGATGTTGTTTCCTAAAGTTAAAATTTTCTAGGTTGGTTTCCTTGTATTTCACTGTAAAGTTTTTGGAATTGTAACTGAGGCAGAACAGAATTGAGAGGCTACTCTCGCTGTGATCCAGAATCGCTGGCCTTCTGGCCAATAAAGCTTGTTTGGACCCAACCCCCGCCCCTGCGTATTGGCTGACAGTGACAGGTAGCCCGACCTTTGTCCTTTAATGCTCCTGTCTCTCTACCTGCTTCATTCTCCACATGTAGCCAGAGTTCTTTTCTTAAAAGGCAAATATTCTCAGAGTTCCTTGCTAAAATCCTACCTCAGTTTCAAGATCAAGTTCAAAGGCTGTGTGTGGCCTACTGGGCCTGTAAGGTCAGGCTCCTACCTGCCTATCTCTAGCCATGTCTCTTTAGACTTCATCTAACTCCCCCTGCCCCGCCATTCCTTGCTCTTGATCAGGCTGGACGGGGGCACAGACTCTGTCCTACTGCACAAGCTGTAGGGTCTTCCCCCTGTGCAGCGTCCCTTCTCGTCCCTTCCACCCGCGTCACAGACTGGCATTCATTCATCGGCACTTCTGCGTGTCCTCCACTGGGCGCTCCTGGCAAGGAGGAACCACAGGTACATTTTCCCCTTGCATTTCTAGTTCTTAGCCTGGCATAAAGTAGATACTCAATAAACTCTGATGAAAAGAAAACCAAACATTTCAGGGCTAAGACAATAATTACCTCCTGGGGTGTGGTACAGCCAGTGTGAGGCTGGGGTCAGCTCATGTGTGTGTATGTGTGTATGTGTATGTGTGTGTGTGTGTGTGTGTGTGAGTGACTCGTGGGATTCACCAAGAGCTAATGGGGCCTGTGCATCTGCACATCCACGGTAAGACGCTGTGCAAAGACGCCAATCGCACAGTTGATTGATGTGTTTTATATTCCCTGGGAAAGAAACAGGGGAGTAGAAAAGAGCCGTAGAATGAAGAGACCCCGTGTCGAGGCAGCCTCAGCTGTATTCAAACCAGAGCGAGCTCAAAAACCAGATGGAAATGTTTTTTTTTTTGGTCAGACTGAAAGGATTTGGATTGCCAGTCTCCCATCAGTATTAATTTTTGATTACAACATTCTATTTACCAGATTTTCTTCTCAGCCGATAAGGAGTAGAACCTTCTTTAGAGCCACAAACTGCTTTGGTCTCCCCCTCGGGGCTGTAGCAGAAGCCTGGGTGGTCTGTGAAGAGAAGCGGGGGGTTAGGCCGAGTGCTGAGCTCTCAGACTGCTCCCAAACGGACATGACTCGTTTAGATTACTGAGGATTTTCTCTTTGTCATCAGACATGGACACTATCCCCTTCCACAGTCAGCAGAGAATGTGTGTCTCTAGGAGTTTTGTTGACCTGGGGCCTGTTAACTGCACTACCTTCTTCTCCCGCTTTCTGTAGCAGAAAAAGCTGCGAATTGGCTTCTCCCTTACTGGAAGGGAAGCTCCCTGTGCACTCATGAAAGTTGTCCTCCAAGTGCAAAGACTCAGAATTTCCTAGACGTTGCTCCCTTAAACATTTGAGGAAAGCTCTACGTTCTCTTTTTCTTGAGACAGAGTCTCACTTCAGCACCCTTGGTAGAGTGCCATGGCATCATAGCTCACAGCAAACTCAAACTCTTGGGCTTAAGTGATTCTTTTGCCTCAGCCTCCCAAGCAGCTGGGACTACAGGCGCCCACCACAACGCCCAGCTATTTTTCTGTTGTAGTTGTCGTTGTTGTTTAGCAGGCCTGGGCTGGGTTTGAACCCGCTAGCCCCAGTGTATGTGGCCAGTGCCCTAACCACTGAGCTACGGGTGCCGAGCCAGCTTTACATTCTCTTACTAGAATTTCATGGAGTTGCTGAGTGTGGTGGCCCATGCCTGTAATCCTAGCACTGTATGTAGGAGGCTGGGGTGGGTGGATCGCTTGAGCAAGACTGAGACCCCATCTCTATTAAAAATAGAGAAACTAGCTGGGTGTGTGGTAGAGTGAGGCAGGAGTGTTTGAGCCCAAAGAGTTTGAGGTTATTGTGAACTATGATGCTACAACACTCTACCCAAGGGTGACAGAGTAAGACTGTCTCGAAAAAAAAAAAAAAGTTTTTTTTTTTTTTTTCACGGAGTTTGCATCTTTCCACCCTGCCTAAAGGGAATATTGGATTAAGATGCTCTGGCCTCATTTTAAGGCACTATAGCATATTCAATGATCATCTGTGTTCTGAAGCCTAAGGGCAAACAATTCTAGGACACAGCTACAAACCTGTGCTCCTCAAATTAGGGGTAAGGCTCTCCGAGGGTGTCTTAATCTCAAAGAGTTCTGAGATTGTGAAGACCACATACATTTTTCCAACGTCAAAAGTTACATGATGAGGTCATATGGTCCAATGGACGAGCCTACCCTGCTCACATTCAGCCAAGTTCAAAGTCAGGGCTGGGTAAATGAGGTCATGGCCTCAGGCTGAGCTGCTGTGGCCTAGGCCTGGGCCTGGAAGAAATGCATGTGGCACCAATTAGTGCCCTGAAATAATTCTGGGCACTCATAGAATCTCCCTGATTTCTAAGCACTAGCCCAGAGTCCGGAAACAAACAAAATAAATTACTTTGTTGAGTGGAGCCAGCCACAATAGCAGCTGACTGCGGAATTCTCCACATCTCCTGCTTCATCATCATCTTCTGTTTCTGAGATAGAGTCTCACTTGGTCACCCTAGGTAGAGTGCCATAGCATCATCGTAGTTCACAGCAACCTCAAACTCCTCAAGCCATCCTCTTGCCTTAGCCTCCCAAGTAGCTGGCACTGAAGGTGCCTGCCATAACACTCAGCTATTTTTTTATTTTTAGTCGAGATGGGGTCTCACTCTTGCTCATGCTGGTCTTGAACTCCTGAGCTCAGGAGATCCACCCACCTTGGCCTCCCAGAGTGTTAGGATTACAAGCGTGAGTCACCTCCCCCAGCCTAAAAGTAGAATTGTTTCACGTATAAGTTCCTGGCTGACTTGCCTGTGAGTGTTGAAAGTCATTGTTTTCTCTTTCTATTCTATCCAACCTGAGAAATAACAAGGGTATGCTAAGTGCTGCTGAGTAAGATCTTTTTTTTTTTTTTCTGAGACAGAGCCTCAAGCTGTCCCCCTGGGCAGAGTGCCGTGGCATTACAGCTCACAGCAACCTCCAACTCCTGGGCTCAAGCGAGTCTCCTGCCTCTGCCTCCCAAGTAGCTGGGACCACAGGCGCCCGCCACAACGCCCGGCTATTTTTTGGTTGCAGCCGTCATTGTTGTTTTGGCGGGTCCGAGCTGGGGATTCGAACCCGCCACCTTAGGTGTACGTGGCTGGCGCCTTAGCCGGTTGAGCTATAGGCGCCGAGCCCTGAGTAAGATCTTATTTAGGAAAGACCTGACGTATTTCTTCCCTGCCTACTTTTATAAACCTAGAAATACTCCCATGTGTGGATGGTTGTGTTTTAGAATTTTCTTCTGCATGTGGAAAATCGATTCTTGCGATAACTGATGTGGACATTTTAGAAGATGGGATGAAGTGGGAAATGCACTGTTGGGCTCTATTTTGTGGTGATGGTGGAGGTGGGGGGAAGCATTGACCCTGTTAGTTGATGCAGAAACCTAGACAGTGGCCAGCCATCAACTCACTCCCAGGGAAACCAGGGAGAGTCAACTTAGAAGTCAATTGGCCCAGCAGGGATTATACTGTCTGCCATGATTGTCAAGACGGTGAGGAGAGATGCTATGTTCTTACAATTGACATTTGGTAACTTTAAGACAGAAAATGTGATAGACACAAGTAGACAAGGACATTGCAAATTGTGTTAAGGAACAAAACTTACGGATGGCATCCATTTCAAGGATTGCTTGCTTAGCCTGAAAGAGAAAAAGAGTAGCTGTAATTGTGATAACATTATTTTCCTTTAAACTCCCAATCCTAACCCAGATCATATCCCTCCTGAACAAATGGATTTTAAAAAACTTTTATTTGTCATTGTTTTAGTCAAGTGCAGTAGTGAGAAAAGGGGAAAGAATAGACCAAAGCATTCAATCTGTGACTGTGAGCAATCGAGTCAGGCACCTCGCTACCTTCAGACCAGCCTTACAAAGCTTTTACAAACTCACTACTGTGTTTCTTTAACGTAGTAATGCACAGTTCAGGGGATCCAATCAGATGTGTGCCCTCATGTGGGCGGTAGAGGTGACATAGCTAATGCACCAGAGCTAAGACCGCACCCCACCCTGTAAGGGGAGCCTTTCCTACGACGGGCTGATTCTCAGGCTGGGCAGCTTATTAGAAACTACAGATTCCTGCCACCCAACCCGATGTACTGAACCAAAGCTCCAGGCACATGGAGCCTGGTATCTTTATTACCAGCCCTCCCCATGCCATCGGGGATCTTATAACTGTTTTGCGTTGATTGTGAAGTGGCTGCTGGACATTCCCTCCTTCTGAATTGTCACCAGCTAACTCTCCCTGTTTCCCCGGTCCCTTTCCACACCTCCCATCATGCAGCCAAGACCCTGGACGAGGCAGGGAGGATGAGCTGCCACATGTGGAGGAAGGGCCCTGAAGGACGAGGGGTGTGATCCCAGCCTAGCTAGCTGGGTGCTCTCCTGTCTCCCAAATGCTTCCTCAGCTGTGAGATGGGATAACAGTCTCCTGTTATTAGGGTCCAGTGATGGGCTGGACCACCTGCCCTCCTAGGAGTTTGTGCCCGATAACTTCTGACTTTTGCAGGGGTCCTCAAACTTTTTAAACAGGGGGCCAGTTCACTGTCCCTCAGACCGTTGGAGGGCTGGACTGTGGGCCCCTGGATGGGTTGGCTGCTAAGCAGGACAGGCAACAGCGGCAAAAACACCAGGTGGACTGGATAAATGTCCTCGGCGGGCTGCATGTGGCCCACGAGCCGTAGTCTGAGGACGCCTGGCACACTTCTCTCCACTTTCTCCCTTGTCTTCTGAAGTTTAATGATGTGGGGCCTCTTTTTTTTTTTTTGAGAGAGAGAATCTCACTACGTTGCCCTAGGTAGAGTACCATTGCATCACAGCTCACGGCAACCTCAAACTCTTGGGCTGAAGCGATTCTCTTGCCTCAGCCTCCCAAGTAGCTGGGGCTACAGGTGCCCACCACAACACCCGGCTGTTTTGTTTTTGGTTGTAATTGTCACTGTTGTTTGGCAGGCCCAGGCTGGGTTTGAACCTGCCAGCTCCAGTGTGTGCAGCTGGTGCCCTAGCCACTGAGCTACAGGCGCCGAGCCCTCTTTTTGTTATTGTTGTTATCATGTTACCGATGTTGAGGGGAATATAAAAAGATAAATGAATTACCCTGCCATGGATCATTCCACATAAGGATTCAAAGAAAATAAAAAAATTACTGTAGGTAGCTTTTTTTTGTTCTTTAATGCCATTTTCTAAGGGTAGTACATCTTAACCTACAAACACAATGCTAAACGTACCTTTAAAAATAATTGTACTCATTTTTCTGGGATCTGTGATATTATAGTTAAAACATTTAGGCTAAGTAGCAATCATATTTAGTTAAAAAAATACAGGGGCCCCTCAACCCAGTTACCTTAATTTTGAGAAAACAAATGCTTAGAACTTTGGAACACTGATGTCTCTAACATACATTCTAACGTACATTTTAGATTACTGTCAAACACAAATGCTAGCTCAGTTTCCTACAAGTGTATTTATAGAGCCAAGTGAATGTATATATGAATACAAAAGTACCTACATTAACCTTTATTCTAAATTAATGTGGACAAGAGTTAAGCTGATATACCATATATAAGACTGGGCAACATAGCTATTTCTAAGAAGTTCTTTGGTGTCTAAACCTGACTGCTTCAAAACAGTATTTTTTTTCTAGGCTTTGAAAGCTCATTTCCCAAAGTACCATTTCTGACCTCTAGGTGTCAGCCAAGGACCACCCTTGAATTAGGAATGTGGTCTTAAGAGGAACTAACGAATTTCCCACAGTTGCACTAACGTTAGACCAGTGATACTTTTTCTGATGTTTAAAATTTTCCGTATGCATTTATATCATAGAAATATATTTTTAAAACTTTAAGAAAATAATTTAAGAAGCAGGAAAATTGTGTGTAAAAATGTATATAAAGTAAACTTAAACTTAAAAAAAATTTATAACGTTGCAGTGGATAGAGCATATTAAATAAGTATGTTTTTATTGCCAGTGGGAACAATGGCAATAATGGTGAAGATGCTGTTTGGGGCCAGAAGGACCTGGGTTTGGATTGGGTTTGGTCATGCAGTAGCAATACAAACGTGGGCGATTCACTGCATGTCTCTGGGCCTCTGTTTTTATTTCTCTAAAATAGGGAGACTAAGACCCATCTCATAACTTGTTTTGCTGAGGGTGAAGTAAGAATATAAAGTACTTACTTAGCACAGTGTATACATGCTCAGTAAGTTGTAGTGGGAAAAAAATCATTTTTAGATTCTAAAACCATCAGCAATTTGGGCAAAAGGTGCAATTCTAGACCAACTATCTTAACCATTTGAATCTATAAAGTGAAAACCTCCTGGAATTCACATACCTGGTTGTGGGAGAGAGAGGACAGGATGTGAGCTAATCCCATTTTGCAAAGGTTCTGAAATTGCCTTTCAGAATCTCTTTAGCCATTTCGACATTCCCAGGAGACAGGTAAACAGAAGGTGGGGCGAATGCCACTCTGCCATTGCTCAGAAGGGCCTTCTGAGGCACAAGGCCAGCAGCCAAATGACTCACCATGAAGAACACGCAGCCACCTCTCCCAACACCCTGATGAAACGAAACTCACGCTTCAAAATACACACCTGTGCATGCTCATTTCCTGAGTACAAAGTGACTGCTGGCAGCCGGGAGAACAAGCTTTGAATGCTTTTCAGTCTACACACAGGGCAAAACAGACTTCATCCTTTTCCAGAAATCTCAGCCCTCCTTACTTTCCACCAGGTTCAACTCTCATGGTCACCATCCTATTCTGTGCCCCATCTGGCATCCTTTCACCATGTATGTGGATAACCCACTCACCACCCTCCTCCCAGTTCCTCCACTCCTGGACGGCACCACAGAAGCAGAACCTCCCCCAGAACCTGATCACACCCAGAACGGCCCATCTCTAGCACAGGACTCTGAAGTCCCTTCTCCAGCTACAGATTTCTGGTTCTTTCTCGCCAACTTGAACTCCTGCTAAGCCAGCTCTGACTGCAACACCAGCTATCCTTGGACCCCAGTCTAGTTTCCCTGTTGGTTTTTGCTCTCCAAAAACTCCACCTGGAAATCCTGCTCATCTACTGCCTCTTTCCCTTCCCCTGCCCTGTGAACCTCCCTCGCCCGGACACTCCCTGTCCTGCAGGAACCCACCTGCGCTGTGCTTCCTCACCTCTAGTTCCCAAGTTGCTGAGCAGATTTTGAAACAACATCCCCACACTGATTCACAGCAGCTAGCTTCAGCTGGGTCTTTGATGCCTTTTACAAATTATTTTAGTAATCTCTAGTGACTAGTCCAATTTTCTTTAGCAATTGTTTGGAACCTTTCCATTTGCCCTTGGGTATCCAATACCTTCTCTGCTCCCCTCACTGGTCAGTGAATCGAACCCTTCACATCTTCCCTCAATCAAGGTCACCTCAAGAGTCCTCTGTCCCCCATCCCTGTGCCTTCAACCCTCTCCCTCCCATGTCGTCACCTCCCGGCTCTCCCGCCCTGCATCCTCCTGCAGTCTCAGTATTCCTCACCCACACAAGAAGTCCTGCTTTGATTTTCCCTCACCCCAGTCTACCACCAGTTTTTCTTTTCTGAACTTTGTGTGTGTGTGTGGGGGAATGTCTACACCCCGCCTGTTTCTTCTTATTCTCTCACTTTATCTTCAATCCTCTGTAATTCTGACCTGGTCTCTTAGTTGCCAAACCTACAATCTAGTTTTCTGTTTTAATCTTTTCTGATCTCTGCAGCCTCTAGGGCTGTCTCTGACTCCCTGTCCCTGAGATTCATTCCTTCTTTCCCCGCACAAGCCCTTCTCCTCCTCTCTCCTTCCTGCCCCCGTGGCCACTCTTTCTCTGGCTGTTCTCCGAAGTTTTCAGCAGGTCCCTCACAAGCTGGGATCCCCACTGGCTCTTCTTTCCTGTCCACAGTTTTGGGGGCCACTCTGTCCAATCTTAGGGCTTCAGCCACTGCCTCTAGTGAGGGAGCCTCTGGGTCTTTGGCTTCCAGAGACCTGACTTTTCACCTGCTCTGACATCTCCTTCTTACTCCTACCTCACCGGCTCCTCCCTTCTGCAGCCCAGCCCGGGACTCACCACACCAAGCTCTTGCTCCAGCTCCTGACTCACCCTCCTTCACGCTTAGTGGGGAAAATCCTGTCCTCTCTGTCTCGGGTGCGCTGCCCCCTCTGCGGCTGGGGCTTCACAGGGGTGCTCCTGTCTATTTCTGGATTACTAAATCTCCACTCTCACTCCCACAGCCTGTCTCACTGTCCCCAAATACAGGGGACAATACAGGGCAGACCGTACCATCTCCTCTTCCCGAGGCCAGTACAGCCCAGACTCCTGTGTGTGTCCATAGCCCTGCGTGGGTCACCTGAATGTCCTCCAGCTCCCGGCTTCACCTCCTGTCTTGGCTCCCAGGCAGGCAGCCCTCCCACCTGGGCAGCCCCCAGGGCCTGTTCACGCCCCTTTGTGTTCACGCAGGCCTCCTGGCCTGGTTTCCCTTTTCCTTTCTCCTGCTTCATAAAAATATTCATCTTTCAAGATTGAGGAGTTTTCAATCCTCTCCCTACTCAACTGCATCAAACACTTCATCCCTCCACAACACCCCTTACCCCTGTTACCTCCTCAGGGTCAGCAGCTAACAGCCTGCATGGCGCCCTCCTCTGTAAACTCCTTCCAGTCTGCACCCCACTTCCCTGGCATTCCCACAGCCTCACACAGCTCAGGTCACAGCAGGTGCAGGGCGCTCTGAACATTCCTCATAACTCCGTTTTCTTTCTTTTTTTTGGAGATAGAGTATCATTTTGTTCTCCTTGGTAGAGTGCCCTGGTGTCATAACTCACAGCAACCTCAAACTCTTGGGCTTAAGTGATTCTCTTGTCTGAGCCTCCCAAGTAGTAGCTGGGACTACAGGCACCTGCCACATCGGCCACCTATTTTTAGAGGCAGGGTCTTGGTCTTGCTCAAATGGGTCTTGGCCTCCGGAGTGCTAGGATTACAGGTGTGGGCCACCATGCCCAGCCCCACAACTCCATTTTTTATTAGTTCTCTAGACGTTTTCTTATATGTACAGTAGAACTCCCACAGCTGACCACCTCCGTCCATTTTCCACCTCCTTATGTTGACCTAACTTCACAGACCAGACATGCACCAGTATCAGTACAGTAGGCCTGGTTCCTTACGTGACCACTTCCGTGTACTGACCAGGTCAGTTTACAGAGGTTCTACTGGATCTTTTCCTTCTTTTTTCTTCTTTCAAGCCGTAAAAGGAACAGCAGGACCTCTACCTCCATAGGCCTGTCAGTGCCTGCATCTTCTCAATGTAAGTGGCTGCTTTAACTGGTCCCTACACATGCTCTCAATTTCTTTATTCTGAAGTTAAACATCTAGCTGCACTGGACGCCCTGCGAGGACTGGGATTCTTCCACATTGTAGTACTGACTGACGCTGCATCTCACCTTAGCCGGAATCTTTGCCGCATGATTCTCCAGGATCAGCCTCTTTAGGTGCAGCACCCACAGGCGCTTGTCTTGCTGAGATTTAGCCTACGGAGAGATTTGGACAGTCAGACAACGCCCAGCTCCTCTGTACACACACAGTCCTCGGATAAGATGGGAGGAAGTGCCACGTGACCAGAAAGCTCTGGAAAGGGCTCCTGGCCCCCAGCACTCACAGTTCACATGGGAGGGGGTTTGGAAAGAGGCCAGGGCACCGCGGGTACCTGAACCGTGTGCTGCAGCTTGGGGTTCTTGTAGTGGAAGACGCTGAAGCTGAGCGGCTCCTTGGGGATCACCTCCACAAGCATGAGGTTGCCACACTGGAGCAGAGAGAGGGGTGAGGCACGTGATGGACCCAGCCACCAGGGTCCTCCCCTGCCACCCACCAGCCCTCAGACCTACCAGGATGTGAGCTTTATATGTAAACGTGTCATCTCTCTTCTTTGTGATGAGAAGCAGCTTGTCAAAAAGGAAGAGTGTCCGCTCATTCTTGGCCCGCTGGATACGGAAGGTTCCCTCAAGTACCAGTTCCCCATAGCTGGTCAGGTCCGGCCCCTTCCAGTTAGTGAGCAAACTCTGTATCTCCTGAGGAGGGGAGGGACCGTGGGATTAAACAGGGACGGAAAGCAAGGCACCAAGGACCCAGCGACCCATCTGTCAAGTCTAAGAATGGTGACTAATGGTCCACAACGGCACCTAATGACCTATGTGCTATCTAATGGTTTGCAACATAAATCTGTGTTTATGGGTGGTGACATTTAAAGGTAACAGAAATGAATTGAGTTGAGTTGATAAGTCACCAATTACTTATTTCTATTATCTAATGATCCTTATGCTGTGGCTGGCAGCAGCAGGTACGTCTTTTAAAATCTAGTTCCAGGGGTCCCCAATATGGGACATTCATAGATAAGCTTCCTTCTCCTGACTTTCTCCCTCCTACTTTTCTGATTAAAAACCATCAGCAATGTTGGCTCAAAAACTTTCAGATACTGAAATCTATATCACAAATAAGCAACGCAAAACTAAAGCCTGCATAAAATTATATAAGAGGCATTTTCTCAGAAATTTTCTGATTTTAAATTCACTTATTTGAGGAAAGGAAATGAACCTTTCTTTGCCCCTAACTTATGTTTTAGTGCTTTGAATAGAACTTGATACATATAGATTGATAACATGACTGATATTTTTCTTTGGGATTTATCATATATTAATATTAACATTTTTTTGCTGGGCACAGTGGCATACGCCTATAGTCCCAGAGACTCAGGAGGCTGATAGGTGCTTGATCCCACAAGTCTGGGGCCAGCCTGGACAACATAGTGAGACCCCAGCATGAGCAAAATTAATATTTTTAAAGGAAGTGCTTTTTATAATTTTGAAAAAATATAAGAATTCACAAGTACCATTTAATTAAGGAACCTGTAAGATAATCGGAAACGTCACTGATTGGAAATAGAAATGAGTAGAAATGGGGATAACTTTGGGCTATGTTCTGATTTAGCAGTGATGTCCGAATGCCAAGCAGATTTATATGGAAAACTAGCCATTTAGCCATTTTCAAATAAGTAGTCCTACCCCATCTGCAGGCGATACATTCCAACAGCCCATAGGCCTGAAACTCTCTGCATACAATGTCTTTCCCTACTCATGTGCACCTGTGGTAAAGTTTAATTTATAATTAGGCACAGTAAAAGATGAACAGCAATAATAATAAAAGAGACCAAATATAACAATATGCCAGCATTACTACTCTTACATTTTGGGGCTATGATTAATTAAAATAAAGTGGATTTGAACACAGGACTGTGATATCTCAACAGTTGGTCTGATAACCAAGCCGGCTACTAAGTTGACAGCAGTAGACAGTGTGGACACACTGGACAAAGGAACAATTCACGTCCCAGAGGGGGACAGCATGAAATGTCATCACAATACTCACAATGGCATACAATTTAAAATGTAAGAATTTTTAATTTTTGAGATAGAGTCATACTCAGTTGCTCAGGCAGAGAGCCATGGTATCAGCCCAGCTCACAGCAACCTCAAACTCTTAGGCTCAAGCCATCCTCTTGGCTCAGCCTCACGAGTACCTGGGACTACAGGTGCCCACCACCATGCCCGGCTAGTTTTTCTATTTTTAGTAGAGATGGGGTCTTGTTCTTGCTCAGGCTGGTCTTGAACTCCTAAGCTCAAGCAATCCACCCACCTCAGCCTCCTAGAATATTGGAATTACAGGTGTAGGCCACTGTGCCTGGCCTAAATTTTTCTATTTTGGTAGAGACGGGGGTCTCACTCTTGCTCAGGCTGGTCTTGAACTCCTGTGGTAAAGTTCAAGCAATCTACTCACCTCAGCCCCCTAGAGTGCTAGGATTCCAGGGATGAGCCACTGCATCAAACCTTATGAATTGTTTATTCCTAGAATTTTCCATTTCATATTTTTGGACTTTGGTTGACCATAAGAGACAGAAACTATGGAAAGCTATAATAAATATAAGGCCTGGGGAGACTCTAATATTAACTTATGTCTTCAAAGGGGCTATGAACAAACTATAGCTTAAAAGTTACAATGTAATTTTCTATTAAATAGCTGTATGGTACAATGATCAGTGTTACTGGGGTCCTGATCTTCCTTCAGGGAGAATCGTACTGAAGACCATGAGTAAGTGGAGTAACTGAGCCACCTTAATATTTCAGTTAGAAAGTGGTAACAAGTCAGTGTCCCAACCACACTGCTGGGCATGGACTCCTCGTGGCTGACCTGTAACCGGACTGCATGCTCGTGTTTCCGCTTCATGTCATTGATGTGCCAGGCGACTCGCTGCATTGTGTCTATAGCATCAAGCACCACGTCGTAGCCTTCTGTGTCCTTATCAAGGTGATTTTCTATTTCCTTTAAAAAAAAAAAAAAAACTAGTTGATTTCCACTTCTTCTCATGACAACCAATGGTACCACTATGATTAGGTCCTTACATTTTATTTTTACTTAAATACTCTACTTAAATTTTTACTTAAATACTCTACTTACATAAGTAGAGAAAATATATTATTATATATTATTTATTATATATTATAATATATATCATATACTATTATAAGGGGGAAATTACAAACAAATTTAGCTCATGAGAATGCAATATGATAAACAACATATTAACATGTTGAATTAAAAATTAATGTTTAATGTATTTTGGTCCAAATTAAATACAATTTATATATGAATTAGTCACTAATTTCTTCTTTTTTTTTCCTTGCCCACACCCCCTCCCTCCTTCTCTGTCCAGTATCCCCTTCATGCCCCGTGTCATTAATTGTCTTCATATCAAAGTTGAATACATAGGATTCTTTCTTCTCCATTCCTGTGATGTTTCACCAAGAATAATGTCTTTCACCTTTTTTTTTTTTTTTT